CCACATTTGAAAGAGGCTGTTTTGTGTTTTATCCTGATTGTTTCTTCCTGACATTTATTTTTGAAAGAATAAATTACATATCGAGTTCTTTGGAGGTATTGGGACAGAGTATACAATAGTAAGGATATGTGAAATCTACAGTTAATTAAATATTTTCCCTTTAGACCTTCATTCGGCCTTTCCTCCAAATTTTTTTTCCCAGAGATGCTAACAAATAGTGAAATAAAAGGTTTAAAATTTCAATTTAGTTGCTTTCTTCATTTCAGCCTTGACATGCAGATGAAAATGCTAATTGAACTCTGAAAACTAACATAGAGGAAAGTAGAGAAGGAAGAAGCACATTGTAACATCGGCCTGCACAATTTACATCATCTGTCTTCCATAAATAATGTGTGCATTAATTATGGCAATTAAATACCCTGATACTGCTTGCAAGAGATTAAAGCAAAATAAAACTTAAGACGTTGTCAGTAGCTCATTGAATTGTTTAAAGTCATCATGCTCTAACCAAAAATTCCATAGCTACCAGATCTTCCTTTTAGATATTGTTTATCTTATGAATACTTAAATCTTTTTTCCAATTAACTGCGAATGAATTTTAGTCCTTTGAGCTTCTTGTTGTTGTTATGTGCCGTCGAGTTGGCCCCGACTCATAGCAACTCCTCCTTGGGTTTCCGACTCAGAGCAACCCCACCTTGGGTTTCCGAGGCGGTATCACTACAGAAGTAGATTGTCCAACCTTCCTTCAGAGGAGTGGCTGGTGAGTTTCAACCTCCAGCCTTCTGGTTAGCAGTCAAATGCCTTAGGCACTATGGTACCAGAGCTTCTCTTTGTCTCTTAATGCTAGTCAAAAGAACTGTGAGTGCTTGCTACAAATATGACTCTGAAAAAGGCCTGCAAAAAGAAAACAGTACCCTTGAAGCTACCTTCTAAGCATATGTAGGTAGCCCATTTCTTCTCCTTTTCATATTGCTTGCTTTTTTTTTTTTTGTTAACCCACATTATTCCCTAAAGTCTACCCTTTTCTGAGGTAGTTGTCTCATCTTCCTACCATTTTCCTCCTGTCTTCTGCCTTCCCACTCTCTAATTACAGTGATTGCTTTGTGCTCTTATCTTTATTCAGGAACATTCCTTTTTTCATGAGCCCTGGTGGCACAGTGGTTAAAGTGATCAGCAGCCAAGTGAAAGACCGCCGTTCAAACCCACCAGCCGTTCTGTGAAGAAAAATGAGGCAGTCTACTTCTGTAAAGATTTATAGCCTTAGAAACTTTATAAGCTAGTTCTGCTCAGTTATATAAGGTTGCTATGAGTTGGAATCAACCCAGTGGCAGTGGATTTTTTGGGTATTCCCTTTTTCTAGATAGGGAAACATATATAAAGGTCAAGAAGATTATTAATAGTGGGAATTCAAGCACCTCCAAATTTTATCCTAGCTCTGTGAGATACTAAAAGTAGTTTAACATTTAGTCAGCACTAAATTTCTTCAAGCCATAACTTTCATCACCATTTAATGTCAATATTTTTATACTCCACTAAAAGGATTGTCCTGCTTATCTTGGTTCTTTTGTTTTACTGCTTTAATAACAAATTTTACTGTGTGTAATGTTACATACAACTTGCAAAACACCCAGTGCACCTTCAGTTTTACATTGAGATCTCCTTAGTCTCAAAGGCAGCTGCTCTTATTTTTGAGTTGTCATCAAAAGCTTTGAAATACTAAAATGTTACATTAAGTAATAGGTGTGCTGGATGCATGCCAGGTAATTTGCTACTACACAAAAGAAATAGGCCTTAAGTTCAGCAGTTGGTGGCTGGTCCTTCCTGCTACCATTATCAGTGATAACCCATAGAAGCTATTAAAGGAGTGATATGCAATGGTTCAAAAATTAATCATGCAGAACAAAGACAGAATTCTACTTTGTATAGCTTGAATATTAGTAATTAGGCTTTTATTTAAATAGTCTGTAAAATCTGCAGCCTTTGCTAAATACTCTTATACTTCAGTGCTGTGTGCTTCAAGATTTCTGCAGTGACCTAGAATTTTCACGTAGAAGGGAACCAGTGTACTTTTGACATAATATAGGATAGTCCTTTTAAAAGACACACTAAAGGATTTCTGAATGGAAATTGGAACTTTGTTTTAAAAGGAGCATATTCTCCAAATACAAGTTTTGTGATTCATGGAACATAAAGGGCCTAGGGATAGTCAGTAATGTGATATTACAGTTCACCTGAGTCTTTGGTCTAAGAAAATAATCCTGTTTGGTTTTAGACTTTTATTAAAATTGGGAGAGAACCTGGGAATAGTCTGAATGATGATACTGAGGTTCATTTAATCATTCATCCATTAATTCATTTTAAATGCACTTACAGAAGAGTGGGCATACAGGGCATACATCTCTACCTCATGAAGCTTATATTCCAGAATAAGTGATACATATAGTATGTTAGATAACTGCTAAGGAGCACTAAACTAAATCAAGGGGAAGGAATTTGAAAGGTCAGAGAGGAAGATTAAAATTTGTTGAGCATTAAGCTCATTGAGAAGGTACTATTTGACAAAAGACCTGAAGGATATCTAGGAAAGAGCATTTCAGGAAGAGAGAATGAGGGGTAAGCCTTGAGGAGGCATTATGCCTGACATATATGAATGTAAAATAGAGGAGCTCTATGTGGTTTAAGGGGAAAAGATTCATGATGTGGGGTGCATGTCACATACAACTTGGCAGATCATAAAGAGGTAGGAAGTCATTGGTGGGTTTTGAGCAGAGGAGTAGGGGTATGATCTGACTTCTGTGTCAATAGTGTCAGTCTAGCTACTGTATTGAAAATAGATTGTAGTAGGCAGGGGCAGAAATAATATCAGTTCAGAGGTATTGGCCCAAGGTGTTGACAGTTGGTGTTGTGTAAGGTACTTAAATTATGGATATATGTGAGGATGGAACCAACAGAATTTGCTGTAACACTGCTTTTGGGGTGTGATGAAAAGGAAGAATCAAGGATGGCCCTCAAAATTTGAAGCATGAGTAATTGTAAGGATGTTGTTACCATCAATAGAGGTTGAGAAGGGAACATGTATTTAAAAAAAAAAAAAAAAATTTAACAGGATATATTTACGTTTGAGATGAGGCATCCAAGTGAAATGTGGAGGAGATAGGTGGTTTGGTTTCATCAGGCTAGATGTCAGGAGACATGTCTTGGCTGAAGATTTAAATGTATATAAATATTATTCAAAGTCAGAAGCCTGGATCTGATCATTAATGAGAGGTAGGACATTCTAAGATCTCTCATAGAGAAGACTCTAAGAGCTGAGCCCTGGTATACTCCAGCATTTAGACTTCTTGGAGGTCAGGAGGAACCTGCACAAAGGAGGGACCAGAAAGAAGACCAGCAGAGTTTAGGGTAGTCATGGGGCCCAAGGGAAGAAAGTGTTTCAGGAGGAGAAAATGACCAGTTCTGTCAATGTAGAGTAGAGGTCAAGTCAGATGAGAAAAGACATGGACATTAGCAGTGTGGAAGGAGGTGGTGGTGGGGGAGGTGGTCTTTGGTAATCTTGAATAGCAGTTTCAGTGCAAGTGGTGGGGATAACATTCTCATGGAGATGGATTTAGGAGGCAAAGTCAAGAAGAAATAGGCAGCAAGTATGGGTGACTCTTCAGAGGATTTTTGGTATAAAGAAAAAAGGAAAATTGGGTTCTCAGCTGAAGTAAAGTTATTTTTTTCCCCAAAGCTGAAAGCAGCGACAAATCGTATACTGATGGTAAAGGTGATACAGTAAGAAACACTTTTTTTTATGCGAAGAGGGGAATATTTTTGGAGCACTTGTCTTTAATAGGTAAGAAGGTAGACTGTGTAACCTTGACAAGAGCGTATTCCATTCATCTGTAGTAAAGGGAAAGAGAAGTATACAGATACTTAGATATAGGTACTGGGTGGTAGGAACTTGTGGAAATTCCTGTCTCATTCTCTTGTCTCTGAAGTAGGGGTTATCACCTGAGATTTGAGGTTGGAGAAGGGGATAGATTGGCAGTATGAGGGGAGAAGACAAATATGAACACTAGGGGAGTGGGAAAGGGAATGGTGTGTATTATGTGGATATTGAAAACACCATGATTTGTAAATATTGCTGGAGAGAGTGACAGCGAGGTAAAAGTTAAAACCAATGCACAGTTACGGGAAGTAACTGGGGAAGCAGTGGATCCCTGAGTTAGTGGGAAGTATAGTCTGATGTGACATTAAAAACTGGGGTTTTACAGAAAAGGAAGGGGAAGATAGAAGCTATTATCCCCATCTCCAGGCCCTTCTCTTGTTGCTATTTGAGAGAACAGTGTTTCATGAGAGGAAAAATTAGGTTAGAGCAAGGAGGTGAGAAAGAGTCAAGGGTACAGGGAATAGTATTGATGGCTGACTGTGGGACACAGTGAAAGGGTTTCAGGAGACCAGGAAGTGGGGTCAGAAAAGAGGATCAAATATATGGCTTTTAGAGAGAAAATCATATCAGCTGTTTGGAAATAACAGTGGAAGAGAGGCTAATGAACTCACCTGAGTAAAAAGAAATGAATAAATACTTGGTACCATGAGGAACAGCTGTACAGGCATTGAGAAACAGTGGTTCCTTATTGCCCCTGAAGAGAGAACAAAGGGAAAGGGACTTTAATTTGTTTGTGAGTGTCATGAGGAAACAGATGGAAGAGAGTTTTTGCTTTCTTTATCTCTGAAACAGAGTAAGACACCTGTCTCTTCAGTGCTTAAACATAATGGAATAAATAGGAAGACTTGTTTAGAGTATTTTTTTTCTGTGGTACGTTAGTAAAGTGTGAGGTGGCTGTGACAATTATATGGTCTTAAATATATGGTACATTGCTTAAGCTTGACCTCTATACCAAATTAAACACAGTTTAAGTAAAAAGTCAGAGTAAGTTGTAAGTGCCTCAGTTTGTTCTCCTATTTCTTAAATTTCTTAACATTAAAGATTTTTAATGTGTCTTATATTTTAACAGGTTGCAGTATTTTACAGAGCCAGTCCAAGACACAAGATGAAAATTATTAAGGTGGGTGTCTGAGAACCGCATTATTTTATCTCTACATGTACATTACTTCTTCTTGTCATTCATTGCTAGGAGTATTGATAAAGCATTGAACTTAAAAGTATTTTAAAACAAAATAGATGATTTTAGTAAAGCTTACAGTGGAAACACTAGTAGAGAATAAGGCATAGTAATACGACAAAGAAAACTTCAATGAAATATCTGCAAATACAGCCTTCTTGAAAAGATTAACAATGTAGAAGTGTATTCTGACAAGCATCCACAGCCAAATTATCCCAGTGCCAGTGTGAACAGCAGCAGTTAGTTAGAAACGGAATAAATCCGGGGGGTGGGGGTGGGGCTGTGAAAAGTGAATAATATTTAAAAGGGTAAGGTTATTTATATTAGCTAAATATACACAAAGTAGTTAATAGCATCCATTAGATAATGGACTTAAAGTGATTAATCAAAATAGCCTACCATTGTATAATTCAGGGTTTTTCAACCTTGACACTGTTGTCTTTTTGAACTGGATAATTCTTTGTTCTGAGAATTGTCCTCTTCATTGTAGAATGTTTAGTAGCATCCCTGGCCCCTCCTCAGTAGATGCCAGTAACATCCCCCAAGCCAAGACAGTCTAAAAATGTTTCTAGGCATTACTGCATGTCCCCTGAGAGACAAAATTACCCCTGGTTGAGAACCACTGGTATATGGCTGCATCAGACTACAGACATACAGTTTTCATAGATAGGAATACTAAAATAACTTTTTCTAAACTTACCTTATTAAGACCTCTATATATTTCATATATTAAGTTTATTTAAAAATTGGTGGCCATTCCATTACTAGGTATGCATCAAAGAACTGAGAGCCAGGATGAGAACATGCACATCCATGTTCATCATAGCACTATTTACAATAGCAAAAAGATGGTAACAACCTAAGCGCCCATCAGCAGAAGAATGGATAACCAGACTATGGTACATACACAACGGAATACTATGCAACACTAAAGATTAACTTAGAATCTGCAAAACACCGTATAACGTGTACGAACTTAGAGGATATTATGCTGAGTGAAATAAGTCAATCACAGAAGGACAGATATTGTATTAGTCCATTACTGTAAAGAGTCAGGGAAAGGTTTATATATGGAAAGAAATTTTTCTTTGTTGGTTACCAGGGGTGGGAGGAGAAGGGAGGGAACACTGTTAGATAGGTAGAGACAGGTATTGATTTGGGTGAAGAGAAGGGCAGTGTACCAGATGTAAGTGATCAACACGTTGGCATTGAGGAAGAGGAAGAAAGAGGTACATGGGCGGTACAGACAACAAAGATTAACCCTTTTGCACATATAGTTGCACAACCCTTTTGACATGTTGTCAGTGAAGGCAAACATTGATCTATGGGTGAATAGATAGGTGGACAGGCTGAATGACTAGGTATGTCTATGCAGGGGGCCATGTACCCAAGACCATATATAGGGTTGGCAGACAATGTTTCCACAAGTGTAATTGGTATGTTCTGTAAGAATTTCCAGGTATATAGTAGAGCTGACAAGGCACAAGGTTGTAGTCACTTCTTGGCCACAGCCAGCTGCCCAGAGGGAGCGAGTAGTTGGACCTGTGAGTTGGGGACCATGGTCACAGGGGTCATCAAGCTCAGTTGGCATAACATACTACACAGAAGCATTGTTCCACATCCTACTTTGGCAAATAGCAACCAGGATCTTGAAAGCTTGTAAGTGGCCATCTAGATGCAGCGATGGTCTTTCCTCATCCAGAGCAAAGAAAAATGAAGAAAATGAAGATGCATGGAAACAATTAGTCCAAGCGACTGGTATACCATGTGATCCTCAGCCTATATGACTGAAACAGAAGAACTAGATGGTGCCCAGCTACCACTGTCAGCCACTCAGAGGGGGATCTATGTAGGAGATCCCAGATAGAGTGGGAGAACAATGTGGAACAAAACGCAAAGTCATTTTAAAAAAAAAAAAAAAAGGCTCTGGGAATTGATGGATTACCCATTGAGATGTTTCAACAAACGTTTGCAATGCT